AAAATTATAGTTGATTGGAAACTAATATGCCGATTTAAAAGGAATGAAAGTAAATTATTACGTTTCTTACATAAAATTGTACAGTAAACCTTTAGCTTATATTTAAAAATTCTAAAATGCTTATGTTATATTTTTCTGTTATATAAGCATTGAAAGTGGATTTCTCACTGAAATATAAATAATTTTGCTATTGAATTAACATGGAGAACTTTTTTATTGAAATATTTTTTCTGTGACATTAGTTGCATCTACTACAAAATAAAGATTACAGAACTGTTTTTAAAACATTTTGAATTCGTTGTCATATTGATCTATGAAGCATTAGATTAGTGAGTTTTTATTACATTATTGACAAATACAGTTTTTAAACAATCAAAAAAAATTTTCAGCGGAGGTAATTATTTGTCAAATACGAATGTGTTTTCAAAGAGGAAATAAATAATAAGTGATAAAAAGAAAATTCAAGTTAGAATATTCACATCTTTACATCACTCTAACAAAGTAATTTGCTTTGATTTAATCTTTATAATACATATGTATATGAATAATACATATAATATGTATACATATGTATATGCAATAATACATATAATATGTATACATATGGTATATGTAAAGTATATGTAGATTACGATGTACCTAGAGTATTCAGCATTTCGTATAATCCTATAACCAGATAATAATAATATTAAAATAAATTTGGTACTTTTCCGTTTTGCCGGCGCAAGCGATAAAGTCGCCAATAATAGTACAATCGATGCCAAACGGAATATTCTCGCTGGTAACCTTTTACGCCTCATTTTCAAAACAAGACGCAGCTTTTTCTTATTAGATTGATTGTTTCTTTCAATACTGGCATAGAATTACATAGAATTTTTATCAGATAGTTCAGTTTTATGTCTAAGGCCATTTTCGGTAATTAGGTCAATTAGGATGCAATCACAGCGCTTACCCGAAGCCGAAAAATATAGAAAAGGTAAAGTCAAGGGTTAAATTCATCAATTCTAATGAGAATGCATTAGCGAAGTAAAGTAAAGCACTGCAGTTTTACATAATTTCTAGAAAGCTATTCGTACGCATTGAAATATTGATTGCATTTTTAAACTTCTATTCCAAAATTAAGATTTAACTTGAAATTAATGTAGATAATTACTGAGAGCATTAAATTTTTGTAGAGTAGTTTACGTGAGATGAGATCGCTTGGGGTCACGTGATATGAACCGGCGAATCAGGATGTTGAACCATGAAAGCATAGTAAATTCTTAAATTAATGTCTTTTTACAAATTTATTGTTTTTATTTATTGGATTTTTATAAAATTTTAAGCGATATTAAAATGTTTATGCCTTCAAAAAAAAAAAGAATTCTTAGAACTAACATTTTTTTTAATATTTTTTATATGTATACTGTATGTTGTCGCCAATAAAGTCTGCTTGGCGAGATTTGCGCCGGTCAAACGGAAAAGTACCATAAATTTTATCTGAATGAAGTTTTCTTATTACAGAAACAGTAAAATTATGCAATTACATAAACGAATACACTTTCAGACAATATACTTAATACTGGTTACAAGCGCAAGCCAAAGTTCTGTTTATGTTGCTTCTCACCCTTCAGCGCATGCTCAAGAATTACCATCCAGGCGAAACTAGTCGATTTGTCCATGACGTCAAAAATTCGAAAAGTGGGGTAGGGTTTGGAAATACGCGGTATGGACGTCACCCCGGTGACAACATGGACCTTATAAGGATAAGGTAACAACCAACCCAGTGGACCAACCCAGTGGACGGAACATCTGGAAAACCAACCCAGTGGACGGAACATCTGGAACTATGTTTTTTTGCTACTTAAAATTATCTTTGTATCTTATTAATGTTTCTGAACTCATCTAGTATTTGAATTATTTATTACACCACCCCACGATGTAAAATTCTGCAGTGGCAAAGTGCCACCTTTCCCTTTATTTTTCACATCTTGTTTCTGCGACACCTTTACTGATATTCTCACTTCCAGGACGCCATATTAGAAGACAACTGGCAAAAAGCCTGGAAATTCACACAGCCTAGGCCCAGTATAACAGCGGTAAATGGAATGGAATGGGCGGAGCGAAACGGTCTGACTGGTACAGACCGGTTCGAAATGGTTCAAATCGGATTAAACCAGTTTGAACCAGTTGGACGAGTTTGGACTAAACCGGCCAATCCGTTTCAATTGAGTCCAATCTCGTTCTCAAGAATCTCCGTTGTTAGGCAGGTTTCTTTTTCTGATATATTAGGCAGATTGTTATTTCCGGTAGATTAGATTTCGGATGATTTTCTATCGGAAAATAGGCAGATTGTTACGCAGGTTTGATTTGGGATTATCTAGGATATTCGACCTTTCCTTTCTTTAGCTCTGATTTCACCCAGATATGATTTCACTCAGGTTTCTGGACTCATCACTCCTAAATGCTGAATAGATTAGGTTTCATGAATTTATGGTGACTGAATTTATTTATGCAAAGTGTGAGTTTTTCTTATAACATTCTCCCTGAAGCATCCCGTTTTTAGACATAATACTGTTGCGCTTTTTCATTAGTGCTGAATAGAGTGTTAACTTTGATACTACCGTATGTCAGTAAGTGAAATGAAGTTATTCTATCGAGCAGGAGTAAAAATGAGCTTTAACGTTTACTGTTGTACCTCGCAAATAATTTGAAATATTTGGAAGTGTTATTAGGTGATGAGTTCACTTAACTTCAACTCCTCATTCTTGATAATAAAGTCCTACTCCCCCTTGCCCCCATTAAAACGTGCGCCGTTGTTTAAAGAAACTACTCGCATTTCAAAATAAAGTTGTGCATACAATGACTATGTTCCATGGTTTTTACTATCAGTTTTTTAATTCGTTTCAGGTAGCTAAGTTCCATAGATTTCTTTAATTAAAATCAGATGCCTTCAATCTGTAATTTATGAAGTCTTAAGTAAGTGCTAATTATGGAAAGCATTACTTGTCATGGAAAGCATTACTTGCTTTATCGCTGCATTTTTGTTAATCTCTTTATGTTCTGGAATGGAAGAATTAAGTTAAGGATTTTTAGCAAAACAGACAAAAATGTCTAGTCTTTATTCTTGGCATGAAATGTTTATTGTGTATTTTGTATAAATGTATGTGTTTGGTCTTAAATTTGTTTTGTTTTGAATTTTGATACAACTGTAGACGTATTATTTTAACAGCATTTACACTTTGCAAATATAGATTCCGTCTATACACACTTAAACGAGATAAAATTCTTTATTCTGTTTTAGCGCCAAACTTAATTATAGGTTAATATAATCATACATATTGGAGCATGTTTAATACAATCTTCCTGTATCTGTATTGGTGATGTTTAATACAATCTTCCTGTATCTGTATTGGTGATGTTTAATACAATCTTCCTGTATCTGTATAGTTACTTCAAGTAATCAAAGGGGCGGGGTAGCCAAACATATAGCATAACAGCAAAATGCTGCTTGAAAGACATTGATCAGTGTGCTTCTCTAATTTCTTGACAAACGAATTGTAGTGTAGCAGATTTCCTTTGATATATGATGTTTTTTCAAAGTCCCCCAATGATAATAAAACCAGAGATGTTAAATCTGGGGAATGGGTTAGGAACTCAAATGCATCTCTTTATCCTTTCCAGTGTTCCAGTAGGCTGAAATGGCTTCTCAAATGTCAGGCATGCCTCAGCATTTGTGAAACCCTATCATAAGTGATATGTTGTATGCTACAGTCAATAGAGTACCGATATCCGTTGAGAAAATACCACAATTTATATTGTAATGATAATTCAATTCAGCCTCAAGACCGGCATGCAGATACCATTTGTTAAAATGCATACACATTTTCCTGATTGACCCTGTATATACCAAGAATATAAATATTTCCTTTGGTGTTTGGTTTATGTAGCGAAAAATGAAACTTCTATATGTTATTAATATTCTGGTTCTTCTAACCAGGGGTCGGCAAACTCATTAGTCAACAGAGCCAATTATCAACAGTTCAACAATTGAAATATCTGCTGAGAGCCACGTTTTTAAAACTTAAATTATATAGGTAAGTTACTCATCGGAACTCGAATCCTGGAGCTCCAGAACAGCAGTCGTCAACCCTTAGAACTTCACGGACCACTACATACGTAATTTTATATTTGGCGGACTACTAATATGAATTAAAAAATGGTAAATACATTTATACAATAATAATCAGCAAAACACGCATATTTCGTTCACATTGAAAAGTACAAAAATCTTAACCTTCTTGTACAGAAAGCTTCACATTTCCGTATCACTGAAAAGGAACTTCACAAAAAGCAAGAACAAATCGGCAAACGCAAAGCAATATCAATAAACTGATAGTGTTATGCCGCTAATTTTTAATTATCGTAAACATAATAATCATCGCTAAATCAGCAATGGCGCCGTCGATCAAAAGTTAGACAAAACAAAAACGGAAACTTCCAGTGATGGAGTTATAAACAGGAATGCAGATGGTTCTCATAAAAATCCATCAAGTTGCTTATTGACACGGAAAAAAACTGCGTTATTAACGACTACAATAGCATATATTTGTAATTCAAAAGGAAAGAGAATTCCAGTTTGTGCTAATATTGATAACATCAGCATTTCCATGGATGCCAACTCTCACTCTCAAATGTCGCTAGATACATCTGCAAAAGTAGCTGAAAAGTCGCTAAATTCAGAAGGACTTTTGCTAAAAGTAGTAGCTAAAATTTTAAAAAAAGTATAATCCATATTCTATAATAGGTTTTGTTGATCGTAATTTTTTAAACTGAATCTTCATAAAAACATAAAACTTGCCCCAATTTTTCTGCGAACCAGCAAAAATTTATCACGGACCACCGGTTGGCGACCGCTGTTGTAAAATACGCGTCGAGTATACTTCCAATTACACCAGGAAGGCATGCGGAAAGAAGGGAGAAAATATCTTATAAGTTAGATGAGTTTGATATATGTAAAATATAAAAAATAGGACGGCTTTGCTCTATGCGAACTAGCAACGTTTAATTAACTTATCGCAATTTAGGATCTCCTGTTAGACAAATACCTTCGAGAACATTCTAGTCTATTACGTAACCGCTACTATAACTAACGAATTCGCGCCATTTAGCAACACAATAACAGAAGCTCCTCTCCTCCTGCGCTGCCAAACCTCGCTGCTGCTTTTCTGCCTTTCTGTGTTGAAAGTATGACGCATTAAATTAAAAGTAATCTGATTTAGTGATGAATATTGATCTGTTTCTTGAATTGAAATAAAGCATGGAGCTATAAACTTAAATCCTATTGTGTCATTATGTGATGTCGCCTTACCACTCTGCAAAAGCAATGTCAAGCTTCATCACGACTATTGGAAAATATCACATATACACAGCAAAAATTGAGGAAGAGGTTTTAATTTAGTTTATTATTACAGAGCACGTAAGAAATCTAAATATCTGCCTTAAGGAAGAAAATATTTCAGTTAAATATTGAGAAATGGGCGTTTGGTATCTCTTGCGCTCTGACCGGTGTCATTACAGGTAGCTTGTTCTTATCAATTAGTTATGTTTTTGAATTAATATTGTATAGCTTTCGTTTAACTAAAGATTTCTTGTTTTAAATTTTGCTATTGTTTACTGCTCTTTTTCATGTCTCTTTTCACACTTCCTATTCTTTCCTGTTCTGGGAGATTCATTTGCCAGTCATCAAAGTCATCGTGTCCTAGTGACATTATTTTGTGAAGTTGGAAAAACATCATGACTAATGATAACTCTTGCTATTTGTATTCTTTCGATACTTTTCCAAATTATAAAGACCAAATGCACATTTAAGGTGTCGAGATATAAAAGCAAGGGTAGATAACAGTTAACTCCTTTCCCTGACTGTATTTTCTGCCGCATGTTCTGTCCCTGTGAGAAAAAAACTTTGAGAAAGTTAAGTAGGTTAGCCGACCAGTTTATGACACCAGGTCCGTAAGCGATAAGTAAGTTCAAGCTTAATTAGTCATAAAACTCGAGTTTTAGTTTAGTTCGCAGTCTTTAGCAATTCTCGAGGCCTATTTCTTGAGGCTGAAGTTTAAAATATGTGGAATTTCTTTTATTCACACTGCAAAAATTGTGTTTATCCTCTGCAAGTTGCAGCGGATTTCTAAGGTTGTAATTTAGTTCTATACATCTGCCGACTCGTATATGCATATTTTAATTTAGTTTTATTTGCTTGTTCTTTCTTGGAAAGCTTTTAGTTCTAAAAGTTAGTTCTAAAAGTTTTTTAAATTTTAGTTCTTTGTAAATTCTTTTGCTCAATTCTTTTGTTCTTTGAAAATAATTTTTATAAAGAACTGAACATTTACTATTTCATTGAAATTAAAAATCGAAAATTTACTAAATAGCTCACAAATTAGGTACAGAAAAATAGTTTGATTAACTGCCATTACATATTTTTCATTTATGTAATAAGAAAAAGAAGAATGTAAGAACAGATTGCATTTTCAGCTTCTTTTTAAATATTCTTTCTTTCTTTATTTATTTATTTTGAGATTTGCACTTTTTCCACTTTGAATATAATTTTTTCTCTCTGCTTATCTAATATTATCAATTACTTTTTCCATTTTTGACAATTATTTATAAAACTTTTCTTAATAATTCTCTATAAATAATTTTCTGATTATCTTTTACTCTATTTGAACTGATTAATAATCATAAGTTTTTGAAATAAATAACTCATTCAGAATTTTTTGCTTCCAAAATCTTATTTGCAGCGATGACGTATGACAAAGCTGAAAGTAAAATTCTGATGAATTTAATGAATATTTTAATTGAAAAAAGATCAAAGATCATTATATTGATTAAATTACGATAAATAATTGTAAAAATTTATTATTTCCTGCGGAGGCCACCCAGAAAATGGTTTGTGACCCTGATTGCCATACCGAAGGGTCTGGGTTCGAATCCTGCAGAAGGTGAATATAAATTGTCTGTCCCTTCATAGGAGGCAATGGTGGCCCACCTATTAGATAGGTGACCACTGCTTCTGGCCTTAGTAGTGGCCAACGCCTATAATAGCTAGTGCCCGCATTTGAAAAAAAAAAAAAATCCCTGGATAATTCTTTTATCTATATTAAAGGAAAGAGCTGGGTGAAAAATAACTCATTATTTACCGTTTCGTTTTTATGTATCTTGCTGTGTGTTTGAAATTAGTTTCAAACTGCATGAACTCATCTTCAATATAAACATGGTGCTTGAATTATTTTAAGGTAGAAGTAGAATTATGAGCATGAGAAAAGACAAACTGGCGTACTTTTCTTTTTACGTTATTCATGAGCTGATTGTCCTGTCATTCTTTTATTTAGTGACGTCATTTACGCTTTTGCGGCTAGGAAGTTAGAATTTGTCTAGTCATCGATGTCTGCGTTAAAGGTGAGTTTTACCATTTCAGTAGTTCATATGTAAAAAATTTAGAATTGTAAATTTTCTTTCGAATTTAATTTATCTAATTTATTTAACTTGAGTTTAAACTGTAAAAAAATTATCTGTTTACTTTACCTAATTTTTAAACTGCTCTTGATAGAACCTAAAGATCCTTGCAGAATGAAAAGTATATAGGAGAAACTCATGAAAAGCAATCTATGATATACCACTTTTATTTCTTTTAATTCATAAGTTTTAATTAGTTCAAATGTAAGACGTAGACGATTTTTTGAGAAGATTTTCTGTAATAATATTAGTGCACGTAACTAATATTTTCACTTGTTTTTAATAATTACAGATGAAACATTAATTTCACTTATATTTAATTCTCTTTCAAAAACTATAGTTGACTTTAAGTACAAGCAAGTTATTAACATTCAAATAAACAAAATTCTAAATAATTGTTATTATGGCAAAAGTTATATGTATGGGGAGTTAATTTAGGTAAAGCTTAACTCGATGTATCTATAAGAGATCATAATGGATCATCTTCGATACTCTGGGTGATCCAAAAGAAACAGAAAAAGTAAATCTTCTGTAATTCAGAACGTATACACAGTACTTAAAATTAGAAACAACCTTGTATTTGGCGTAGATTTAGACAAAAACTCAATCGATTTCGAGGGCAAACAAGTCCCTCTTTATTAGGAGCAAAGAAATTTGAAAGGTTGGAAAGCAATTCGCGTAACGGTCCTACCCTAGTGCAATAAAGCAAACAGGAAGGTAGAGCCAATCTGTCGGCAAAATTAGTAATGAAAATTTAAAAAAAAATGAGTTAATAGAATTTAAAAAGCGTTAGGAAGGACCAGATTGAACTTAAAGTGGTTAACTCAACAAGTTAAATCTTTATGAATGTGAAAAGCTTCAAGAAAATCTAATTCGCTAACAGAAGAAGCTTTTTGGATTAGCTATCGAAGACTTGTGCACTTCGCCTTTTCGGATGGCCATTAAACAGTGAAAGAGCCCGTTAATCTGAAAACATGTATCCTCTATTAACTGCTCAGAGGAGTTTAATTCTTGTGGCGTAAACGTGTTTTAAAATCACGATATTTAATTTGATTGTGAAAGTTCAACCAGCTTCTTGTCAGATTCAAAGTGCCGTTTAGGTAATTGCCCTATCATTTTGTCTTGAAGGTTATATATTTATTGAATTTGTCTGAGTGTGAGGTGTAGTCAAAGCTTAATTAGAGTTTTGATTCAGAATGTTTTGGTTCTCTGAAGCTACTGATTTGAAGGATTGAGAAGTAATTACGAAAAACAATAAATAATTGTAGCAGTATGCGAAACAAGGTAAGAAGGAAAAATGGAAGCAAGGCCTAATGAATGGCTGTAAGGAATTGTACTACTTAGAATGATGAATACTTGATTTATGATTTAATTATTCATTTTATTGGTTGATAGGAAAAAAAATCACGTCTTGGCTGTGTAGTCTCAGAAATCTAATAATTAAATTTCTCGTTGTATGGCACTTGTTCTCTCGTGCTTCATGCTTCCTTATTCGTTATTCCTTTGATTTTCTTGATTATTTTTAAATGTAGAAAGAAAAAATTTCGAAGACTAGAATTTAATATTCAATGAAAAATTCGCTAGCAGACAAATGCATTCTGTAATTATCCCTTTTGTCGTTGTCGCAGTTGCAAGGTAGACAACACCAGCGGACCAATCCTTCATCTTTCTGGGAGATGCCGACGGAAGTTCTACGCTTCAGAAGTCTTCGTAGCATGGAGTAGCAATTGTTCTTTCTTCCCATCTCCGTTACCGCCCCTGCGTGTTTGTCGCCATCCTGATTAGTTGGCGACATTTTCTATTTCTTGTCACCCAGTTTGCAGGATAAGCTGTAATACAAAAAAGAAGTTCATACATTAAAATGAATACAAATTTCCTCATTATTTGAAAATGGTTAAGGATATTAATGAAAAAGAAATAGGAAAATAGCTAATATTTTACTCTCAGTTACGGTGGAGAATCAAAACACAACTTTAATATGTTTCACTGAGGCACGGCGGAAAATATGTACAAGTAAGATTTAAATGATGATTTTTCATTTTTAATATTAATCGGATAAATCCTTGCTTCTATACCCACAAATGGCCGAGTGGATAAGACCACTAAACAGGAAGTTCATTTTGTGTTCAAATCTCGGCGAATAGTCTGGCTGCGTGGAAGTTTTCGTTGTTTTCCCCAATCTATCGTAAAACAAGTCAGTGTCTCTTCCATGGAGGCCTGTATCTTCTCAGACAGATAGTCCTAACGTTCTTTGTCCCATTCGAGTCCTCACTTTTTCTCTTCGTGCAAGTTTCCATGTGAACAGCCATCTTTGCTGTTTGCTAAGGTCGTATTTTTTGTAAGACCGATTAGACTATTTTTTGTAAGACCGATTAGACTATTTTTTGTAAGACCGATTAGACTACAAGCATTGGTACCTCTAGCTGAAATGATAGCATATTTGTAGCAGTAATCTGTGTTATGATTTATAAGGTACTTTCTCCCTCCTTTCCGCATGCCTTTCCAAGTACATGAAAAATTAGCAATGTCCTCGCCGGGACTCGAAACTGGACCTTTGGAATACGCGCCGAGTGGGCTAACCGTTATGTACTTCTGCTTCAAAGTAATCTAATGACTCTACAGCGGCACCCGAACTAAAAGGTGGTGGACTATAATTCACCACCAGGATTTGGCGATTGGCTACCCTAATCCCCAGTCATCCTTTAAAAGGGGGAGTATATAAGGTACCAGAAGTGGTCGTAGCCCGACTATCTAACCAATTAAGTTGGCCCTATGATCATAAAGGGCGATTTACTGAGCTAACGGGTTTTACTTAGCTTCAGTTCCCTGTATCGACTAGCTTCGCTAGTTCAGATTTTTCAACTGGCTGCCCCATGGGGAAAAACTGGTTTTCGAGATGGGTCGACTATGTCAGATATCTCCGTCAGCTCAGACAAGCCCGAGTCTAAACGGTCCTTAATAGGCTAAGGAGAAAATATAAGGTATTTTCTCCCTCCTTTCCATACGCGTTCGTGGTGTAACGGTAGCATATTCGGCGCGTATTCGAGAGGTTCAGGTTCGAGTGATGGAAGGGCCTGTTCATCTTTCATGTACCCCTGCTTCAAAGTAACCTAATGACTCTACAGCTTTTTTGATTTATTATCCACATATTAAAAATTGCCTTCCGATTCTTTTTCGTATTCTCGTTATAACATGTAAATTTTTCTAGAAACTAACCTAACTTTAAAATCATCAATATTTAGGCTACAAGGATAGTAGTATATAAGTGAACCTTTATTTTAATGCAATTGTTCTTTTATTTTCCCCCGATTTTCGTTATATTTTAAAGTTTATCCAAGGTAGATACAACGCATAGTTTTTGGAAGAACAATTACGCAGGATATATCAGTGATGAAATTATTTTGCTTTCTAATTTTTCCAGATGATTGAAACTTATTTGCTCAGATTATCTTCATTCTATATTGATAAAAATGTATTGTATGAAAAATTTATCCTTATGGGAAGCTATAAAATAAGACAATCTGCATTAAAGTTAAAATGAGCATTACTAGAAGAATACAGAATGCACGTAGCCAATCCGTTATATGCAGAGAATGCAATTTATTGAAATATACTTATGAAAAATAGAGACTTTCTAATTTCCATGCAAGAAAAAATTTGGGTCCGAAAAATAAGTTGAGAAAAATTGAATATGAGGATACTGAGAAAACAATTTTGAAATAGTTCACCATTTACAGAAACACAGTCTGCCAGTATCTGCACAAATGTTTCAGACAAAAGTCAATGAATTTGTAAAGGGGGGGGAGGGAAGAAGACTTCTTTTTAGTGAACAATTCGCTAGTTAGAGAAGCAGCAGAACAGTTTTTCAAACAAAATTGCCAAAGAGTCATGGAGTGTTTCATTGTATAATGTTGAGACATGATGAAAAAATATTTCAAATTATGTATGTCGTCACTAATAAAAAAAAGTTTTTCAGTGATACTGAATTATTTTACCAATTCTCTGGCTGAAATTTATTGAAAATTCGAATCACAATCTCTCTGCATGAGCCAACCAGAAAGATATTGAAAATCTCAGATTTCTACTAAATGGGGCATTACCAAACTGAACATGCCTAAAATCGTGAAGAATCTTCCTGATTTCTATGCAATCCGTTGTTTTTCTCGTATGACATCAGAACTGTCTGAATTGCAGCGATGAAAGTGGGCTGAAAAGCGTCCGTCAAAAAGTGAAGGGTTCTTCTCTTGGGTTATACTATATCAGTATCGAAAATTTAAAATAGATTTAGACTTTTCTACCATACCTCCAGTGCAATTTCCATCACTAAGCTTATAGAGCAAAGGGTAATCTTAAAGCAACATTACAGAAAGCAGCTAATGGAGAGTACAAGTTGTAGCTTTTTAAATCTTAATGCAATGTAGAAAAATCTTGACGACTCTTTACTGAACCCATCATTCGAAACTTGTCTCTGCCACCCTCATCCAGATGAAGATGATAGGAATGAGGATTTACCTTTTGCAAAGTTGCAAGAAAATTAAAAAGTAGCTTAATATTTTCAGAACATGACATGGAGCTTTTCCAAACCTGTGGTCACTTGTTGCCGTATACGAAGATCAGAATGACGAAGATATTGAGCAACCACTAAAGTGAAACATGATGACATCGAAATTTCTTTATCTGATAATGATAAAAATTTCAAATAACTAAGAAACAAGGAAAACGAACTCCCCTCTGTTGCAGATGCCAAAACAATCGTGCTTGTAACTATTAAGTTTTTCCCCACACAACCTGCAGAACTTTGACTTAGTGAAAATGAAGGGACTTTTTTACTTACTTATATATAATTTAACAACTGCATGTTATTAAAATTATTCAACCAACGCTCTAATATGAATTTTTTCAATTATAATTATTATTACATTGTTTATTTACAGTCTTTGATAGGTATGGCAATGTCCCAGTCCTTGATAGGCAATGTCCTTGATAGGTATGGCAATGGCCCAGTCCTTGATAGGTATGGTCCTTTCAAGACCAAAATGTCCGAGATGCCGTTTCATTCAAACTACCACAACCTCCCGAAAAGGCCGAGACTGCGATGTTGTTTTCTTCCTTCCCCCTAAGGTATGGAGTATTAGGTGCAGTTTCCCCAAATGCATTGTATTAGTTTCAGACTGCTTGTCCTAGAAGGCTAATGGAAGCTTCTTTGTTAGGAAGTAGAAAGGATGTCATTTGAAATTTTCACACCTCTTTGTCCGTTAATGAACAAGGAGGGAAGGAAACGGACGGGATGGGTAAAGGGGATATGCGTTTCGGTGTATTAAGCATACAGGTTAGCGAAGGCTTCGGTTTTCTAAGGGTTAATCGTTTTTTAAAGGTCCTTCAGTCAAAACTCAAATTTTTTTCCCTTGTCAGATCAAACATAGCACACTCCCAAATGTAACAAACCAAAGACTTAGTCTCTTGAAGCTTCGTTATAAGGAAGTTTGACTGCAATGATTAAAATGTGTTTCTCCTTTTTTTTACTTCCTAATTTCAAGAAGAAGTATTTCTTAGAGAGTTATTTCATTATACAGCATAACAAATTAGCCACGGTTTTACATTTCTAAACGCTAAGATGATATTTAATATAAAGAAAAATGAAAAAAATCCTCATTAAACATAATTTCATATCTCATCTTCAGCTAGGAAATCATTTCAAAATCGTAATATATCATAACTTTCTATTTCAAGTCCAACTGACATTAACTTCAAGTCCAATTGGCATTAACTTCAATTTGAAGCCCAATTGACATTGACATTAATCCACGGATTTAAGAAAGGAACAAAATACATATGCTGCTGATCGGAGCATGAAAGACTTCAGTACATCTTTTATCAGGAATAAAAAAGAATGGTGAAAGGGATTTAAATCTAATGGATTATGGCAAACCTGATTTACAGCTATTTGCCTGAGAGGAGGGAAGTTTCGTAAAGAATTTCCTAAGAGATATTGGTTGATATTCACTTTTAATACAGAGATAAACCACGAAAACACCCATGCAACCAGCCTCTCCTCCAGGATCTGAACACAGGTCGAATTGCTAGAGTTCAAGGGACTTACCTACATAGCTGCTCTGAGTGACGGAAGGGTAAATTACCCGGGTAAAGAGAATGATAATGGGACATTTTAGCATAGAAAATTTATAAAATGGAAGAGTTTTAATTACGTCACACACTAGGGAAATCAAGAAAGCAGGAAAGAAAACCACATGTAGAATAAATTCCGAAAGGTAGGAAAAAGGGATGAACGAAAAAAAGATGATTGCAATTTTAACCTAAAGAATGTTAACAATTTACTAAGGTTGTTGTTGTTGTCGCGTCCATATTACATGGAACAATGGTTTACAGAGCCTACTCCGAAGAGAGGATGGACTTCTATTTTCCACCCCCAAGTTTGAGGGAGAGCATCCCGGGGAGGTCTGGAGGTCTCCCACCCTTCTCCACTTCCCCAATCCACACGAGAGGACCTTCGGCTCGCCGCATATTTAGCGCATCGACATTATACATTTATAAATATTCATGTCAACTTCGGGATTCTTACCCGGGCCCTTCAGTACCGTAATAGGCTACTCTAACCACTATACCGTATGGACGTCTGGCCGATTTAGTAAGGTTGTTTTTGCAAAGTAGACATTAAATGACTTTTCTTCGGGGTTTGGAGTTTCTTCTTATGGACCTTTACGAACCATTTTATTATACCGCTTTTCCCCAAGCATAAAATTAAAAAAGATTTGTATTGGTATTCAAATGCCGATTTAATATCTGAAATAATTTCAATGTAAACAGAAAT